GGTCCTACAGGCTGGAAAGTCAAAGGTGACAAATAAGCAGGCTGTCCATTTCTCCCTATTTTGGGAGAGACAGATGTTTCTCAAAAAAGTAAGTTCTAGCCTCTTAAGTGAAGGGGTTGGAGTACTGAATCCTTAACAAAGCCATCCTTTCTCTCAAATATTCATTAGAAACTGAAGTTAAACAGGTACAGTATTCACTAAAAATGAACCAATAAAAAAAACTTTAAATGGTGTGAAAAAAATATCTCCTTTCAGTTGCTCAATACACATACAGAACCATGCATACATACATCTCACATTAAGTTATAATACAATCAATTATAACTGTGATTAATGTATTTTCTCACATTTCTGCCAGCCTTACATGCTCTCTGACTGCTAAACTATTTCCTTATTCCATCACTCCAAACTCTGTCCTCAGCAGCTCTCTTTTAATTAATCTGCCAGATAAATGTTTCCTCCTTCTTCCCCAAATGTGGATTTCCCAAAAATTACCCCATCCCAGAGGCCCAACATGAGCGAGATCCAGTTATGGACTAGTAACAGCTTAAAAATGAGCCCTGCAGGGCTAGAAACAGGAACCTTAAATTGCTGTCCCATCCAAGTTCCACAAAGCACAAGAACGGAGAGGGAGGAAAAAATGGATCCCCTTATTCTGGCACTCTCTGCTGTCAGAGTAAATTAGAGCAGCCCCAGGGCAGCTCTAATTTATGCTCAACTGCAACATCCCCTAGATTCCATTTAATCAAGTAAGAATAGAAAGAATGGTATCTGGCTACACACTATCCGCAGGGATATCCACTGACTGAACCGTAGGAATGGATAGCTACCCCGACAGCTGAAATGGTTCTATTTCCTAGTGCAGACAAAGCCTGAGGCTGTATAGATGGAGGGATACAAGAAAGTCCCATTCAAATGATTAAAAACTCTAAAACAATCCTTAAGTAGTTTTTAGAACATGCATGACATGGTGCAGAATAATTTTATCAGCTCTCATTTTTTGTTCTGCGTAATTTGCTCATAGCTTCACCCCTTGTAATGCACTCATCCCAAACTCATGCTGACAAAACCTTTCTCCCACACCATCATGTATTCCACATAGATCACATATATAATATATTCCTATTTGTTTAAATATTATTTTTGTTGTAAATATTCATTTAACTGACCTTTAAGGTATTAAAAGCTACTTCCTAGCTCCAATATGTTGGTTTTTAAACAAGAGGAAGAACAAATTTAACGATCTTCTGTCCTCACCCCCTCAGTGACAAGCTACTCTAATTAGTGTTTCTTGAGAAAAGACTACAAACCTAATCCTACACGCTGCACTGCTAGAACTCCCATTGATTTAATGGGCCTACGTATGCAGAGACAACAAAGCAGACATGTACCTACAATGATACATTTATCCAAGTGGGAGATAAAGGGTAGCCCCAAGAAGTTCTCAGAACTAATTTCAAATTTGATTAGGATTAAATTATAATTCTGAAAAGTGTGGTGGTTGTTTTTTTTAAATGTGCTCAGAATTATTTCTTGTAAAACAGTCTGAATTATGAGAGAAGTCAGGGAAACAGGAGATGGCATTTGTAGTGCCTGGCTATTTCTTAACACAAACACATCACTCTCATAGCCATCTTCTTAAACCTCTGGTTCACAAAATCTCCATAATCCTTTACCAGTCCCCATAACTGTCTGTTTTTTGTTTAATATCAGAACAAAAATAATGAGGGAGGGCAAAGTGCTACCATCTCCCCTGAGTAAACAGTAGAGAGAAGACAACAAGGAGTCCGGTGGCACCTTAAAGACAAAGTGGGTTTTTTTACCCACAAAAGGTTATGCCCAAATAAATCTGTTAGTCTTTAAGGTGCCACCGGACTCCTTGTTGTTTTTGTGGATACAGACTAACACGGCTACCCCCTGATCGTAGAGAGAAGCTATCAAATAATCATTGGTTTGTGCCAATAGAAAGCGTGAGAAACCTGGAGGCTCAAAAATGAATACCCATTAACATATTGTGTCTGTGATTAAACTGGGATAAAGATATGGGGCGGCTTAGCGGGATGATCATGCATTGGGAGTAGAAGATGAATGCTTGTGGGGCAACCTCCTATCCTGTAGGGTTGAGGTACAAGCCTATTGTACCTGCCTGGGCATTACCTACCATATGGCTGCCTCCAGGCCTTTCAGGCAAACAGCAGCTTAAAACACAACCAGCCCTCAGGTTGCCAGCCCTTAAGTAGCAACTTCTGCCTGCCCCCTCCAGGTTCAGAAGCGGTTCAGAGCCAGATGTGAAGTCAGTTTGGTGGGGTGTTATCCCTAGTGCCTGTGTCCAGCACACGGTTCTGCGGAGGCGCCCAGGGCTTGGGGACCCAACTCTCTTCTCGCCCCCAACCCCGCAGCGATCCGTCCCGGGCCGGGGCACACTGCGGGGGGCGGCAGCTCTGGGGCAGCTGCCCCGCCCCAGAGGCAGGGGAGAAGCGGCTGCCGGGGCGGTGGAAGGCGGCCAGGGGCTGCCGGGGCGCAGGGGACGGATCCCCCCGTCCGCAGCGGGGCCGGGCGGGCAGAGCTGGGGGGCCGAGGCCCTATAGGGGCGGCGCAGGGGAGACCTCGGACTCTGCCCCCGGGAGCGGGCCCAGCCCCCGCATTAAGGGGATGCTGCGCCCTTGAAGGCGCCGCGGCCAGGAGCAGCCCCCTCGCCAGGCGCCGCCAGCCCCGGGCAAGAATGCGCATGCGCAGCAGCAGCACCAACCCGACCCTGCGCTCTACCTCTCGACCTATGACCTTGCCCCCCGCCGCTTATCTCTCTCGGCCCCGCCTCTCGACCTATGGCCCTGCCCGTCCCTCCTATCACTGTCGGCCTCCTGGCCCCTCTCAGTGGTGACGCCATCTCCGTGCGCCGGTCGCGTTGCGGGCGCCCCTGGCGGTGGCCGCCCGGGCTGAGGAGGGGAGGGTGTCCGTGGCCCGTGGGGGACAATGGCGGCCGCCTCGCTGTGGAAGGGGCTGGTGGGGATCGGACTCTTCGCCTTGGCCCACGCGGCCTTCTCCGCTGCGCAGCGTGAGTGAGCGGGGCCCCGCGCGGACACCCGGTCCCCGGGCCGGGAACGCCGCGGGCAAGGATCCGGGGTGGGTGAGAGGGGCAGCTGCCCGGGGCGGGGGTCCCATCCCCATAGCCACCCTCGGTCCCGGTGCCCTCCTCCCCCACGCTCACTGCGCGGGCAGCAGGGGATGTGGGGGCGGCTTGTGGGGAGAGCCGGGGATGTGAAGGGATCGGGGGGCGAGCAGGGGGCGGCTTGTGGGGAGAGCCGGGGATGTGAAGGGATCGGGGGGCGAGCAGGGGGCGGCTTGTGGGGAGAGCCGGGGATGTGAAGGGATCGGGGGGCGGCTTGGAGGGGACCAAGGGATGTGAGGGGGGCTTGGAGGGAGGATGAAATCTGAGTGCATCGAGCTGAGGGGGTGAGATCTGGCATGCAGGAGCTGGACCAGGGTGATAGTGGGCGTCAGGATGACATGCGGGGATGGGGTGGAGTTAATCAAGACGGGAGAGAGGTTCAGGAGGGCAATAGAGGGCCACGTTGTTATTGAGGAGTCACTGGACCTCAAGCCATTTGCATTTCCAGCAGTGGGGGCTGGGGCAAGGGAAGGAGAAAGGGGGGGGGGGGGAATACAGCACCAAGCTATGATTACAGCTCAGAGTCCATTTTTAATATATTCTGTGTAGGAAAAGAATTTATAGAAGGTAGCTAATCTCTTTTTAGTGCATTTTACGTTTGTTTAATAGATATCATTAATAGGTTTAAAGCAAAACAGTATCATTTCTCCAAAAATGCTTGCTTATGCAGTCAGAGATCCAATTATTTTTTCTGATCACTAATCCAGGACCCTTGCTGGGAAAAACTGTTCCCTGAAAACATTTATTCTGATCCATCAAAATGGGTTTAGCTGTGGTAGATGACAAACCTGAATATTACATACTTCTGATTATCTTTGTAATTCCAAGTTTTCAATTTCTTTAAAATACTGTTTTTCAATGCTAGTGGGTTTTTGAGACACCAGATGCTAAATCATCTCAGAATTGAGGTGGGGAGATTGGCGAACATGCCAACAACTAGTATTATATGATTTAAAGGTTGAGTATCTTTCCACATGCCCGTGCTAGAAGCAAACACTCTTTAACCTTGATGGTTTGTGAGGTATTAAAGCTTGAAGCTACCATTTGTCAGTGCTGCATTAGTTCCTTGGCATAGCAATGCATTTGGAGTACTAGTCAGCGTCTGACCACAGCAACTGCTACAGTGCAGTTTCCAATCCGTGGCAAGAGAACCATTTTGCCAAGAGTATTTGAAGATGCTAGAGAAGATGGCCACATTATTTCAACTCTTAGCGCACAGTGGATCAAATTCAGCTCTCGTGTAAGTGGGTGCATCTCCCAGTGACTAAGATGGAGTAAACCATTTAGGATGATGCTTATAATTCAGAAAAAGGTGTATCCTTTAGAACCCAGAGTTATCTGAATGTTATGACAGATTAAGTTAATGCAAAATGTGCTTTTAAAATTCCACACTACACATACCTCTGAATAGAATGAAAAATAATTAACAGTAATGAGCTAAATTTCTACCTGTTATGACTTAGTGGATGTCAGTAGAATTAGGCTAGTAAGTATAACATTTACAAATAATTCCTCAACGATCCTTCTTTACACACAGTTCTAGTACCTCCATGGGTTATAGCCAACCCATCTGGAAAGTGTACCCATTTTTGAAGAATTCTGTAAGAGATTTGTGCTTCATGTGCAATAGTATTCCATGTAGATATTATATACAATGCCCTAAGGGTATACAAGAAGGAATCATTTATTAAATGTAGTAGTCTGATGCTGAAGTAGTAAAGCAATTGAAGATTGTCTTGTGCAGAAACATGCTCTTCAGTTTACTAGTAATGATGACCAATTTAGATAAGTTCAATAGGGAACAGTGGCTATATATATTGCAATAAAATAGAACATCTAATTCCTTCTGCTGAAGTAGCTTTGTGAGAGTGCTGGCTGCACTACAGTTTGAGTAGCAATATCTGGCATTCATAGAGAATTCTTCCTGCATATGCGTGCCCCATCATCAGCCCTCTTCCACCCTTTTCGCTCTCATGCAGAAAGATTAAATTATTGCTGAAATTATTTATCAAGGCAGGTTTGGAAGATCAGATATGCTGTCTGAGGAAGCAAATGTGGAAACAAGATTAAAAATGGCAGAGTTATTGGGAGTTAATAGTCCATGGCATAATACATAGAAACCCAAACACTCCTGGAATTTATATTGATTTGCCTTATTACAAAAAAAATTAACTTACCAGTATGTCTTTACTTTATAGATCGTTCCTATATGAGATTAACAGAAAAGGAAGATGAAACATTACCGATAGATGTAAGTTATACATTTTCATTGTGTTTGGAAGATTTAAGACTAATAATATAGTTTGGTCTCTTGCTTTTGTTCCTGTTCATTTTTTTTTTTATTTGGATAATTTAATTTTAATCATTAAATCTTTCACATTCTCATTCTGCCTGAGAATGTTTCACCTACCAGTCCTAATGTCCAGTAATGCGTTACAGCTCTTACAAAGAGTGTTTGCAAGTCAGAATAAGCCCTGACTTCCTTCTACTTCTTTAGAACTGTTGGTGAAACGTCTCCTCCAGGAATTCCATGGCTTCTGTCGTTAGAACTTGGAAAATCCTTGCATAAGTCTCTTATACTCTGCAGCATAAACATCTGCCCCCCTCTGGCTTTTGTTGGCTGACATTTGTTTATTCAATACTATTGTGTGCTGCTGTTATCCCAGCACAACCTGTTTCATTTACTTCAATTTTCTTATTTCTGATTTTAATTGTATCTTACTTTCCTGATTTGACCAATAAGAAAATGACATGCAGAAGTGGACTTCAGAGGTCGTGCCCAGTTGTCATCCTTGTTGACAGTGTTATGGAGGTTACATAATTTGTCTGAGTACTAGATTCTTCCTGTTAAAGCAGTAATTTGAGTGCACAGAACAGTGATTCTGACTGCTGAGGAATACAGAATCTGCCTGAAGAACTCTGCTAGGCAGCTTGATCTAGTTCAGAGGGTACAGGGTGGGTGCCAGGAAATCCCCCATCTGTTCCTGCTTCCGCTATTGACTTGCAGTGCTACCTTGGGCACCTACTTAATCCTTGTGCCTCGATTTCCTCCCCCCACTAAAATGGGGATAAAATTATTTGCCCAGTTTCCTAGATCTCTGGTTGAAAAACGTGTAAGTGCTTATTGTGTAAGACAACTGTGAGCAAAACAGAATAAAAGATGAGAATTTTGTACAAGCGTTCTCTTATATTGTTTAGCAACCTCTGTGTGGTGTATTGTATCTCTCTCTGTTGCAGATAGTTCTTCAGACACTGTTGGCCTTTGCAGTTACGTGTTATGGAATAGTACATATTGCAGGAGAATTTAAAGACATGGATGCCACTTCAGAACTAAAAAATAAGTATGTTGGGGTTCTTTCTGTTCGTTAACACACTTTTTCCTGTTGCTCTATAAATAAACTCAGCATGTCCTTTGACATAGCAGCCCCAGAAATGTTCTCCTTTTTAGCTCATGCCTTCTTGCCAACCTGCTGTAAATGTGATGCTGGGAAGGACAGGCAGAGCCAGGAAGCCACCACACAATGTCTGGCTGTGGGATGTAGTGTTCTAGATAGGATGAGGCTACAGCAGTGACTGGGACACTTTCTGCCCTTCCTTGGCTCCTTCCCTGGGCCTCCTAAAAACCCACCTCAGAGTTGGAGTAGTGGAGTGAGCAGATGAGGAACAGGGAGATATGAGGTTACAGAACTACTCCTGTCCAGTGGTCTCAGCAGGGGACTGGGAGGCAGAAGCTCTTATCTCCAACCATCTCTGCCTGAGTTTTCACATCAGTAAATAGGGATAACATGTACCCCCTCCTAAAGGTGTCGATGATGAATTAGTTAAATGCTATAGAAATGCTGAATTGAATTGTATAAATCTGTGAAGGATTTTGAATTGAATTTTGAGGTGGATAGGAAGTCAGATGGGCAGAAAAGCTGCTCCTATAGAGAGTAGTCTGAATAATATGGGACTTAAGTAAATCCATGAAAGAGGCAGTATAAGGGGGCCTGAACGTGAAGTGCTAAGAAGTGTGTGAGAATTAAGGGCGCTCAGCATTATTAGCACTGAGGCACAAATATGGATTTTGGCTGAGGCAAGGTCAAAGGGAGGAGGAATTTGGGTGATATTTTGTGGGTAGTTATTAACACTTGTACATAAGGAAACTATAGAAGAGAGAGTAAAGTTTATTAATGATGTGGGTGTTTTCTGTATGCATATCTATAGCTCTGTAACACTACCATCTTGTCTTTAAAATTCTTAACATTTGTGTTATGGCATAGGGAATTTGCGTAAGATCTAGAAGCTTGGCACCTCTGCCATTTGGTAACAGCACTTACTTATTTTTCTGTCTGTTTGTAAAAATCTGGTGTTTCCAAGAGTGACTTTCATCAAATGATCATTCTAAAGCCACATTAATTTCATTTTTCATGTTTATTTTAAGGACATTTGACACATTAAGGAACCATCCATCTTTTTACGTATTTAATCATCGTGGTAGAGTATTGTTCCAGTCTCCAGATATAGTGAATTCTTCTTCAAACCAAGATGCTTTGTCATCCAGCGCATCACTGAAGTTACGAAAACTTGAACCTCTGCGCCGTTAAGATTTTTACAGATTATAATAGAACAGGACACTGAGATGTAATATTGGAGTTGGGGGTGTAAACACTTTTTTTAATTTCTGGAGCAGTATTTATATTGATCTTCCAGACTTTATAAAATATATATATATAACTAAGGACCTTCTTTGTACACTGTTAATGAAAATGACTGAATTGACTTGGCAATGGAGTGTAAATTATTGCTACAATTATGCTGTGAAACATCTTTGAACTTTCATATATTAAACAATGTTGCGGTTGATTTTTTCATTTAAAACTATTCCTATCCTTAAGAAAAGGCAAATAAGTTTTTATTGCAATGAATATTGTTTAAAAAGAGGGAATGCTTTAGTGCTATTTATTTTCTTGGTTTGCTTGCATTACCCTTTATGGAACTCCTTCAGAAACCATGGGTGCACTGCAGCATGAAAAGATAGAGGAGAGGAAGCTATCCGTCTCCTGTTCCTAGAATGTCTAAAATGCCCCTTTTGGTGTATGTTTGTGAAACTCAAAAGAATGCTTTCATTCTTACAATGCTAGAAAAAAGTGGTTATGTCTGACAGGTTTTTTAACTCTTCGTTATCAAATTATTGGTTTCTAGTTATCCTCCTGTTTAAAAGTAGATTTTCTCCTTCTCCTCCCAAAATTATCTGGGACTCTACATCTGGTATATGTATGGAAGAGACGGCTTGCTTCTTTTTGGATAATCTAATATGTTCAGTTTGTTTATTCACTGTATGTGTATTGCTCTTTGCTTATGTATACAGGAACATTCATGAAATGGCTGAGTAGTGTTTCAGTAAGATAAACGGCACCAGAAACTAGTTTCTTTCATGCATTCTGAGAAGCAGTTTTCATAAGTATTAAGACAAATATCCATTTTAACGCATTGTATGTGTTTTCTAATAATAAGGTGCTATAGGGATTAGCACAGGAAAGGGGGCTAAGTGTGCATGGTATAACTATCCCTGTCACTAGCCCCGAAGCATCAAATTAAGCTAACGAAACTGTTACCTCTGAGCCATTAGCTGACTTAAGAGAACTGTTTTGAAGGCATGCGTTCTTAAAACATGACATAGCCTTTAACCGGTACTGTTTTCTAATTTTTTTTTTTAAAAGCTTGTTTTTACTGTTAAACTTTGTCCAGCTCTGGCATTTCCAGTTGGTAACTGAAAGCTTCTCTTCTGCTTCCATGACATAGCTAAGACCCTTTGCATTGCGTGAGATGCTTTACGGGTCCACCTAGAGTTCTGTATATTCCCCCTTGAAGATCTCTCACCTCAGCATACAAGTCGCCCTTTTTACCCTACAATGTTTTTATTTTTAACAATCTATTTTATTCAACCCAGCAATCAGAGTTCAAAGGCACAAAGTGTAGGAAAACACCATGGAAAACTGAGCACCTTCTGCTGGCCCATCCTATTGCCCGGGACCCCAGGGGTGAGAGCAGCAGTATGGATGGCTGCTCTGAGTAGTTATGATTTTCAAGTTGGGTTGGTTAAATATTCAGAAGAGTATTCTGGTCATTTAAACGTTGATCTCCAATCCACTGAGCTATTTCCTAAAGTGTATTGGCTCTCCTTCCCTGGGAGTCACAAATAAACTTGATTAACTGATAGCTGCTACCACTAAAGGCCTCATGTTGCCCCGTTTAACTTAAAACTTCCATTGTCAAGTACAGCGCTGGTGTACGAGGAGAGGATTGCTTTTTGCCTTGGCAGGGTAGGTGGAGGAAATGGATGCAGACTGATGCCTAAGCCAGCGTGACTCTTGCTAGCTCCGGAGGAGCAAAAGTGGGATGAGAGATGGAATGAGGTTCTCATGCCATTGGATTAATGCCAGAAGAGGTGAAGAACGACAGCAAGAGCCCTGTAACCAGCCTAGCAGACTGATATTTCAATTGTGTTTGGCAGTGTACCATTTGCATAATGTCTTGTAGAGCAGGGCTGCTCACCTATTAATATCTAGGGAGGCCATGTTCATGCTACTGGAAGGCCCACTCAGTGCAAAATGCACTACAGCGTGAAGGCTGGAGTCCTGCTCGGAGCAAATGTTTGTTTCTCAAGCTCTCAATGTTGCATAGTTTGAGAGCTGCGAAGCACCTTGGCGGCTACATCAGGCCTGTTAACCTCATGACGAGTAGCCTTACTCTTTAGCAACAATGGTTATATCGCAAAGCTGTACAAATTATTTTTTTCTTATCTTGCAATGTCCAATAAAGAACGGATATCCTTACAGAGCTTTTGGTGGTGATTTTTCTCCCAATTGTCCTGCACCTTGTCAGACCAAGGTCAGTGAGGGTGATCAAGAAATTGTCCCGCTAGTAGTTCTAAAGAAATTAATAACCTTACTTTGGCTGTAGCATCTTTGCAGTGAAGTTCTTGCATGCCACTTGTCCATTACTGTGTCAGATACATAAAAAGGGAATCAGACCAACACAATGTCCTGGTGGCTAAACAAGCTTTTAGGATCACTAAATCCTTGGCCTGCATTATCTGGCTGCCTTCAACATTCCTAGTCTATATCTCAACAGCCTGAGTCATATATATTTACTCTGAGTAAAGTCTCTTCACATGTGAGTTAATACTATATTTAACTGATGAGCAACCTCATTGGAAGGCATGTACACCCAAGATCTTGTCTCCTTGGTGTCTGAGTTGTTGAGGAAAGTCCCACCCCTGCTTCCTAAGGCCAGAGATAAACACTGGTCATAACTGCGTAGCCACATCTAATTCATCACATTCAATAGTATTTGGAGGCTGTAAAATTAGTAAAGAAAAATATTTCAATTTGCTTAACTACAGCTTTAACCATGGTTGCAATAGAGAGATCACTCTTCATCTTTGTTTACTATACTCCCTTCACTCTATTAAGTCCCCTGTCTACATTCAGCACCGTAGGTACAAACACACTCCTTAGTACAGTATTCGTAAGAGGGGGCACCGCAGTATTGCAGATTTGCTCTGGAAACCAGCTATGTTGCATTTATCCCTGGGGCATTCATACGTAAGTTGCTATAGACCATTTTCTGTTCTCAGAAATTGGCAAGGAAGCAAAAATATGTTGCACCATCAAAAGCTTTGAGTGAGCCAAATGGAAATCGTTCCCCAGCTCATCCAAATACTTCCAGTGCCTTTACTCTTTGTATCTACTTGGCTAGGGTACATGGCATATTTCTGCTCAAGCAGCATGCTTTATTAAATACTGCAAAAGATTAATCCCTTAAAGACGGGCCACTAACGAGCATTTCTATTCTTTTGGTTGCAATTTGAATCCAGATTAGCACCTGTGTTGCTGCATTCTCTTTCCCTCTCCTCACTATTTAATGTAAGTCCACATTTATCTTGGATAAAAAAAAAAGTGCTGCTGTCAATCAACTGTTCCTTCAAATAACAATGGGACATGGGCAATAGTTTCTGTGAGAAAACATTCCCAGTTCATACCCCCACTCCTCTGGTACAGGTTGTTATGGTGTATTGGTTCTTCTATGGACCACAGCTGGTAGAAGTGTCTTTTCTCAAAGATCGGTCAAATAGGCCTGAACACTTACATGTCTCTAAAATAGCCACTCATTACACTCTTCTTTTGGTTGCAGCTCCCGTAGTCATAACTGAGACTGATTACTGTCTCTGGAGAAGTTTGTAGTGTAACAGAGCTGGAAACGTCTCTTTAGTGCAGGAAAACAAAAGACAATCCGATTAATTGGTGTGGCTTTATTTTTAGTACTTGGTATGTGCTTCCCCCCTCCAGCTGTAATCCATTTTCCCAGAGCAGTGTTTAGATCTCTGGGAGATGGGTGTTAGACTCTTACTTATTCAGTGTCAAATCTTTGGTGACTATTTACTTGTAAGCAGGTGACACAAATGACTTCTCAAGCTGAAGTGCTCCTGCACTGTTTAATTTTTACCTCCTTGTGCCTGGTGGAAGGGCTATTCAAATTCAACCCATTCCAGCATTCACTTCACTGCCTCTTCTCCAGATCAATCAGGGAAGAACCCTACAACCCATGCCTCTGAACTAGTACTTTAGCCATGGACCTCAACATTCTCCCGGGGTTTAGTCTCAGGGCTTCCACCCTGCAGAGAATTTGTTTGCCCTTTTTGGTGGTTGGAATCCATTCAGGGGCAGTTCAGCCTCAGAAAACAGCAGCTAAGAATGCCTGAGCCCTGCCAACCTAGTGCAGCTTCACCATTGCTGGAATACAGGCACCTTAGGAGGCAGCATCAAAGGGGCAGGGAGAGCTGCCGCTTGGGTTACAGCTGCCTTGTCATCACTAGTCAGTGCCTCTAGTGATCCCAAAGGACCGTAGGGAAAGGGGGTGAGATATTTTGAATGTTAAAACAAGCAGAAAACCTGTACCTGCTCCCTGCATTATGACGCAGCCCTGAGGGCACAAGTTACTTTACTTTGCCTTGCAGTTCACACTGAAGCCTCTCAAATCACCCAGGATGACAGCAGTTGTTTATCAGGACAACTTTAAAAGCATGGGGGAAAGACAACTCCCCACATCTCAGCATCCTCTGAGATGTCCGTCCCCAGACTTTAACAGGACAAGAGGGTTTATTTTATATAATTACTCGATTTTTAAACAGAGCACTAGCTACAGTTCACACTATGGTGCCAGCAATCTCCAAATAGCCCACCCGGCTCGACAGCTCTGATTCAAAGGTGGGTCTGAAATGGAGCTGGAAACATCCACGACAAACCCGCATAGTAAAGACTCAGCGTTTGGGTATTTTACCTGGGGCCAGGTTGAAACACATTATTAGTCCCAGCCAGACTTTTTGACTTACTATATCAAAATTGGCCACATGGGGCCAACTTCTGAGATTTGCCAGCTGACCCCAGGCCAGAGCCACCCCTTTTAATCTGTGCAGACAGACAATGAAAGGGGCGTTACTGGAATTTTGAAATAGCCACAGAAAGTCGGGTAACTACCAGGCTTACACAACAACGGATGAAGCAATGTGAAGAGCAAATTCCAGCCAAGCACAACTCCCAGTGCCTCTGCCAAAGGCAGGCTCCCTTTCAGCTCACATGACAGAGCCACTGCCTGGTCTGAGTCTCTGCGGAGGTGGGTGCTGGACTTATTATTGGGAGTTCCTTAACTCAGAGAGACTCAGTAGTGAGGAACCGAGATCAGAGCTTTGCTGCTCACGTGCTCTGCACGCTAGCCCTATGGCACTAATGCTCTGCAGCCTGATTAGCTCTTGCCATTCAGACAGTTTCGTTACAGTACGAAGTGGGAGGTAGAGTACTACCAGATCAGATTAGTAACTGTTCACCCACCTTGTGCTGGTGTACATGACCCCACATGGGAAAATCCAGCCCCCCGAGCCTTGGTCCAGTTCGCACTGGCTCTGGGATGGATCTTGTGAGGAAAGGCTTTTCTTGGGTGGTTCGGATATGCTGGTCAGAAAGCTAGAGAGGATCTTCCCAAGACAATAGCAGGGCATCTGCTCACCCTACCTCCAAACTGTTACTTGGTTTGGATTGTGCTCGCAGCCCCGGCTTTGTGCTATCACCATAGAACTCTGCAGTCTAATATGTGTAACAACAACAGGAAGGGTTAGGCAGAAATCAGCTGCTTAGCGGAGGGCTGGGTTTCTAATCAAAAAGTCAAACAAGACTGTACTGGAAACCTTGGCGATACTTCAAGATGGTTGCTTAACACATGGTCTGGAGTTTCCTAACTGCCTTTTTCAGTCGATCTGAACCCCAGCAGTGACAGCGTAGCCGGGGCATAGAAGGGCAACTGCAGCTTTCAAAGGGTTAGAAACAGGAGGGTCCTTCAGCAGGGAAAACTGCTGGCAAAGATCAGTTCCCTGGAGTCCCTATAACTGGTGGAAACAGTTGGAGGGAGAATTAACGAGGATGCTTAACTATTGTGTTGGAGATAAAAATCACTTGTGCTACAAATCTCCAGGCCCACTGGTGACTTCAGTCCGTCTCGCCTTTGGAAAGAGCAGCAGTTTGGTACGTATGTTAATCAGCCCATCTCTACAAATGTCTCAGCTCCTCTTCAACAGGCTCAGCATTTGACGGGGCTCCTCTCTCTAAAAAGAGGGCTCGATTCACACCTTTTAGACTGCCTGGCGGTTCTGGCTCTCACCGCCCATCCAGGCAGGCGAAAGGCGAGTCGAATGGGGTATATATGGGAAGGATAAATACCAATAGGTCATGAACTTTAAATAGTTTTCTGAAGTTACAGGAATTCTCCTTTCATGCCTATCATACAGCATCCCAACATCTGAATGCCTCACTCTCCCTCCACAGCTCAGACATGCTAAACAAGAGGGCACACAAGCTGGAGCCTGACGGTGTCCATCCATTAGGACATTCCCCAAGAGAAAAGGTCTACCAATCACTGCCCTCTGGTTCCTGCCCAGGTTCCAAAAGGGCATGAAAGCATTTGGCTAGTTATTGGTGGACCAAGTAATATTGGCATGAGCTCCTGACCCCTCTCCATTGCCCTGTGGAGGTCACTAACCAGACAAATACTGGCATATCCAAGGGCCTCGAACAGAGAGGGATCGAATCCTCCTGAAGGGAGGTTAGAGACTGGGCAGTAATGGGTTAGCTCAGACAAGCACAGCCAGGCCGCACAGTGTTTATGGGTCACCAGCCACTTGCCTTTCTTCCTTGGCAACGAACCAGGTACTCCACACCAGCTCTCATCCAGCGGGATGTCAAACAAATACCTCCCAAACGTTGCTGCTAGTGTGCTGAATCAAAGTACCCTGACTTGCTTTTAGGGCAGCAGACGGGGTGCAGAGAACGCAGTGAGCGTTTAGTCTGAGTGGTACGCTGCTGCCACTAGGTCAGTGAACAAACCGGAAACAGAATTGGCGTTCTACAAAATCCCTGTTGATTTCAAACCGCCATCCCCTGGAAGAGCTTTTACAAAAGGTTAAGGCAGATCGATTTCAGCTTCTCAAGGATTTCCACTATACATTTGTACGTTTTAATGCCAGACCAAAAAGCCCCCAAACTTGCAAAATATAATTCACATGGTTTTTAAAATAGATTTGCTAAGACTGAGAAATTTCAAGTGTGCTTGGGCAGTGATTTTGGCTGGTGACCAGAAGTGGATTTAAAATCAAGATGCATCTAAAGTACAGATGCCCAGAAGGTTTTTAAAATTCCTTTAGGGCTCCCTGTCTCTCTCTGTACCCTCCCAACCTTTCTGTAGCTAATGACTGCCATTCTGCATCCCAGACCTGGTCTACACGAGG